ACACACACACACACACACACACACACACACACACACACACACACCTCTGATTTATCTGCATCTCACCCGGTTTTAACAGCTGGGTTTGCAGACACCTCCTTCCCCCTGCTGCTCTGACAAGGTTGTTGTGTGCTGAAAGCGGGCAGCCAACTTCTCAACCCTGTGCTTCTAAATCCAGAGCTGCGAATGCAGATTCATCCGCGCAACACTGCCGTCACTGCAGACAGTTATTCTATGATGAATGCATGGGCCCCCTTTAGCTCTGGGGCCCTCTGAAAGTATCCCCCCCCCCGTGCAATGTTTCCTCTAACATATCCACCCATCTTCTCTGTTAACTCTGAATCCCTGCTAGCTCTAGGATGCGCTCTGACCCCTGACCCCCTGCAGAGATGGAAGTTGGAAGGAGGGGGAGGCCGGCCTTCCATGCAGAGACCCCATCGATTATCACATTAGAGCTATGCTAGCAAGTTTAGCTGTACTGTGCCCTTGTGGCCAGGAGCTCTTAATACCTTTTATCCCACAACACAAATGAGAGATTTGCTCTTTCATCCCTGGATCTACGCCTGAAACCAGAAACACGCAGCGACTTGTTTTATGTACGGACAGGAGAAGAGGAGGAGTGTGCCTTACCTGCATCATGCAAACCTCTATCTGAGCTTTTGGATGTTTCCAAGGCAAACCGGTTGAAAAGAAACCCACGTTTCTAACCGCAGCAGTAACAAATTCCCTCCATCGCGCTCCTCTCGGCAGCTCTAAAAGCGACCTCTTCAACCATGAAGTAGACTCAGGCAGGATGAGTCCACCTTTGGAGTGCTGTTGTACCCTGATAGGTAGACTGTGTAGACTGTCGAGCTCCCTGTGTATTCTAATAGACCTGATCAGTTGGCCCGGAGAGCAAGATAAACCCGAGACGGATCAAACAGCGACGGGAAGGATCTGCTCCATCTCGGGCTTCAAAAATCTTTTCCAAAATATGATGAAAATACACAGAACAAACAAAACCATGAGTAAACAAACTAAACCACAGGTGGACTCAATTCACAGATGGACACACAGCAGCCAGCCCTGGCATTGTGGCGGAGTGTGTGTGTGTGTGTGTGTGTGTGAATGTATCACACACACACACTCACACTCCATAACTATCGACAGTCTATATTTGTGTTTTGGTGAGTGCATTCACACCCATGCGTGTGCGATCCGTGTAGCTGTGCTGCTCTATAAATAGCCTCGATTTTATTTAGATGTTGGAGAGAGAAAGAGAGAGAGTTGCCATAGCAACAGGCACATTCAGGGGGCCCTGCTTGTGAATGTAGAATGAAGGTATGATAACGTAAATGTCTGTCTGCCGCCTCTTTCTCCTCTTTTCACAACAGCTTTCAAATCATAATACGATGATTAATTACATGTCTTGAAGACGCGCGCTACAAATACGCCAATATTGTCTGTTCTCTTGCTCCGCCCGTCACTCCTTCTCCCTCTTCTCTCCACATCCCTCCATCCTTTTGTCTGCAGACTCCCGCCGTCTGTCTCACACCAGCACCCTCTGCTGTAACAGAAACCACCTGTGAATCAAGGAAAATGACCCCCGATCGGCCGGTTGAACCATTCTACCTGAGTCGGGCAGCATGCGGCTTTCACTAGGATGCTTTCTGGTTTCATTCTGCCTACAAGCTCAAGTGCTTCCTAAGTGTGTGTGAAGCAGGCCATCTGTGCACACACACACACACACATACCCACACACATATCTGAGGGGGCGGGGGGCATTCATAATGACCAAGGTAAACACAAAGTAGATAGCACGAGAGTGGTTCATTTTCACTGAGGGCCTCTTTAGCATTAGTGGTCAACAAAGCTATCCATCACAAACACCATTGTGGCAGACTCTTGAGATAATGGACACACACACACACACACACACACACACACACACACACACACACACAACTCTGACATGCTTTTCCTTAATATCTGTTCGGTAAAGATAAATAAGTAGCAGATAACACTGATTAGTCAATCAACAGAAAATTCACTGATCAGTTATTTACTTTAGTCACAAGTATAAACAGCAAATCCGTACATTTGATTTCATTTTCTGTTTTCATATATTGTATGTGGGCTGCTGTAAAAACGTCTAAAACAGCTCATTTGCTTTTTGAAGTGTGAATGATTCTTTCTCTTTATCATGATTGCTTTAATGTATGTCCCCCTCTGTGAAACGAATCTGAGCCCAGAAGTGAAGTTTAGGAACCGTTGAGGTGGATAATCCCACTGCACGGGTCAGCGGACCTGACTCACCGGTACACATCTATTGAACCTTGAAACAACATCCTGCATCGAAGCCCTGAAAAGCTGTCAGAGAGGCAACAACAGAAGTCTGAGCAAAAACAAAACAAATTTCCAACTAGCATCAATGTACAATAGTACGGAAATGTTTTATTGTGAATGACATATACATCAAAATAATCTTATTTCATCCATGCTTTTTGTTTTCGGGGTCTGACTGACATATCAGACAAATATGTAACATGGCAGTAAATAACGATGGAACACTGACTGTGTGTTGACTCAGTAGTATGTCTCCTGCTCCACCCAACCTAGAAACCAAAACAGACAGAGTTAGGGACAGAGGTTTGGGGGAATTTTTCACCTCACATGTGGGGTCTAAATTCTCCATGTTGTCTTTCACAGTCAAGTCAAAAAGGGGGGACGACTTGGTGGATCTCTGTGACTTTGCACCCAGGATGACGTCACCTCTCATGTTGACTGACAGCGATTCAAAGAAATTAAATCTGGGAGCGTGAGCGAAAACTGAGTGAAACTGTAAAACTTAATTTAGCACAGGTTTAAAAAGTTAGCTTTGGGCCATGGACACCTCACTTTCTAAGTGTTTGAGTAACCTAAAATCCATCCTTAACATATAGACTATGCCGGTTTGTTGTAACACTGTGGATGGGCAATGGGATGTTCACTGATAAATAACACAATTACCTACACATGAGCATTGAAGTAAAACTCCAGTGCTCAAAGATTACTTAAAATATAATCTTATGGGCGAAGAAAAATAGCTGTTTCAGCTTTGTCACAATGCATTCACAGCTTTAAAATTGTGTATTTAGCGCATGAAGTATTTTCCTCGACCAAAAAGTCACACTTCAGTCTTTAAGTTCTTTTTCTGAATCTGATTTTGCATTTGGCAAAAGTTAGATTCACTCACCTCCAAATACAGAGAACAGAAGCAAACATGTGGAACACAAAAGCCTCAGAGTCAGTAAAGGTCTTACCGCCTGGGTTGCGTCTGAGGATATATCTTCTGCCTTCATCGTACAGGAAGATGAGGAGGGAGTAGGGGAAGGCACAGAACCACCAGCATGGCCTAAGGTGAGACACAGACACAGACATTTGATGTTTAATTGGTTCAATATCTGCTGTAGATTTCTGTACATCTTGGACTTTCTTTAGCAATACATTTTCATGCCGTATCTGAATATAAATTGAGAAGCAAAGAGAGAAATAAAAGAAAGAGAACAAAACAAAAACATAGAAGGCAGATGAGACATAAATAAAGACAGGGAGACAAAAACTGTGAGGAGAGAGACACGAGACTCTCAGACGGAGAGGAGAAGACAAGGTTATTCAGACATCAGCAATCCCTCGAGAAGAGAAAGGTGAGTGGGTGGATGAGGAGACGGAGAGAAGATGAAAAGGTGGCAAGGCCAAAAGGAGAGCAGAGGAAGACGCAGAACAATAACGAGGAGAAGAAGACGAGGAGACATGGAGACTTCAGCTAATGAGCCTGTTTTCTGTTTTTCTCTGTCGGGCAAAGAATCTCATTAGTACATTACTATAATTGTTGTCATTTGGGTAAATTCAATATCATGGCTGAGGGAAAAATCCCAGATTGAGTATATAATTGTCTGTGTGCAGGTTTTACTCACTTGAGAGGGTACATTCTGAGGGCAATGTCCATGCCGGGGCAATAGGACAGGAAGGCAGCCAGAGCTGTCTCCTCGAACAGACCAAAGATGAGGATACGGTTCCTGTGGAAGCAAAGAGTCAACACAGTCAGAACATTTTCACTGAAGCTGAAGCTATGAAGATATAAAATAATTAGCCTCTCAGAAATCACTCTCAGATTAGTTAGGGCTTTTTTATTGACTCTTATAACGAAGTAAAGTCTCCCCCCAGAGAATAGGAACCGTCTGAGGAAGTCATTACGTTTCGACTGCAGGGACCAGAGTCTAAATACAGTTTTGGGGACATTTTACCCCCTTAAATAGCCCTGGTTTGGGGGGGAAGTACTTTCTGAAAGTACAGGAACTTTCAGGGTAAGGTTTGCAGGGATGACCATCACTGATTGGTCAAACACGCACAGTGTCGCTTCCTCAACTCGTGCGGCACCTCATTATTAAAACAAGGAAGTACTCTATCAATCTAGGACCATTTTAGGACGAGGGGAGAGCATTTCTCTCTCTTTTGTTCAACCTGATTTTTAAATTCCAGCAGCCCTCGTCCCATATCGGGCTGAAGGAACCTTTTAGTTCTTTGACAAGTGGTCCCCGGTATAAATGACAAGGAACTTCTAAAGATATTAGAAACAAAGCCCAGACTGCAGAAGTGCTGCATTTATTGTGTGAGAAAATACAAGTTTGGAAGTGTCTGTATGTGTACGTACTTCATTCCTTGTTGCAGGATGGAGTTCCTCCTGGTCTTACAGATGATCAGATCGGCCCACTGGACCACCACGATACTGGCGAAGAAAGCTGTGTGACATGTGAACTCTACGATCTTTCTGCGCTCGTATGTCTGGCGGGTAGAACATTTAAAAAAAGATTAGCACAACTCCTCCTCTGTTCTTACCTTGAATGTGAACATTCATTTTGGGCTTGGCATGGCCGCGTTATTAAGAACATGAGCACTACTCACCCACTGCTGTCCGTAGCTGTCTTCCAGGTCATTTACCATCTTGTCGTCCCACATCATTCTGATCCCCAGCAGGTCAATGGGGAGGAACCCGTTTTCAGCCAGGATCACAAAGTATGTGAAGAAGCCAGCTGTGGCCTGCATCATACCTAACAGAGAAGAAGAACTTTGATGGGTCTGCTGGAGACGGAGCGCCGCCCTTCCACAACACGGAAGAGAGTTCGACCATTTAGAAAAAGCACCAAATAACAACAATCATTCATGCTTACCTATCTGTCCGTATGCGATGCTGATGAGCCGCTCGTTCACCAGCTTGTCTGTTTTGGGGTTTCTGGGCTGTCTCTTCATGATGTCGCTCTCAGCTTCTTCATAAGCCAGAGAGATGGCAGGGACCTGGCAGACAACAAGTACATAAAACACCAGTCAGTTAAGTATTTTCAATCTCTTTGTCACACAGAGTTGCTTTTATAGCGACTGACACATGATAAAAAAACGTCTGTTGTGCCGTCGCTCAAAGAGCTCACCATGTCAGTTCCCAGGTCAATGCAGAGGATGGTGACGGTTCCCAGGGGCAGAGGGATGTTTGCGATGATGAAGAGGAGGAAGGGGGAGATCTCAGGGATGTTACTGGTCAGAGTGTAGGCGATGGACTTCTTCA